AGAAACATAAACACAATGAAAAACTTCTTCAGGATGGGTTCTGCATTACAATTTTCTAATTACGATGTAAATACATCCACTTCAAGTAGTATTTTAAGTCAAGGTTGGAAGCAATATCTGGAGGTCACCTAGTCCAATGATCCTGGCCAAGCAAGGCCACCTAGAGCCAGTTGCTCAGGACACTTTCAGACGGCTTCTGAGTATCTCTGAAGATAGACTCAGTAACAGTGCATGGCAACCCTCACAGAAAAAGAGAGCAGTTCCTGATGTGCAGATGGAGCCTCCTAGGTTTCAGTTAATGCCCACTGCCTCTGTCCTGTCACTGGGCACTGGCTGAAGAGCCTTTGTCTTCTTTACACCATCCCTTCTGATACTGAAACACTTTAGTAAGACTTCCCACAGCACCTTCTCTTCTCCAGGCCAAACAGCTGTAAGCCTTTTCTCATGGGAGAGAAGTTCCCATCCCTTCATTTCCTTCTTCATTATCTTCACAGCCCTTTACTGGACCCTCTCCAGAATGTCACAGTGTCTCTGGTACTGGGAAGCCCAGAACTGGACACAACACTCAGGTGTGGCCTCATCAGGGCTGTGTAGGAGGGAATAGTCATCCCTCAGCCTGCTGGCAATACTTTGTCAGAATCAGGCAGGAACCACTCACCTTCTCAACAGCAAGGACTTGTTGCTGGCTCATCTCTGACTCAGTGTCCACCAGGACCCCAGGCCCTTTTCTGCCAAGCTGCTTTCCAGCTAGGTGGCCCCCAGCAGACACTGGGGCAGGGGGCTGCTCCTCCCCAGCTGCAGGACTTTGCACCTCTCCAGGATGAAGCTCAGGTAGTTCCTGTCAGGAATTTCTCAAGCACGCTGAGATCCCTCTGGAAGGCAGTATGGTCCTCTGGCTTATCATCCTTTACTTCCAGCTCTGTCATATCAGCAAACTTGCTGAGAAGACCCTGTGCCCCATCACCCAGGTCAGTAATGAAGCTGTTGAACAGGACTGGACCCAGCTCTGACCCTGGGGGTACAGCACTAGTCACTGGTCTCCAATTAGACTTTGCTCTGCAGACCACCATTCTCTGGGCCCTACAATTTTCAGTTTTCACCCATCTGTTCATCCATTCCATACATCGACAGCTTTTCTATGAGGACCTTGTGGGTCAAAAGGCTGGACCAAGATGAGTGGGTAACAATTACGCTTCTGTAAAATTTTGTCTTGAGACATTTCTACTCAAATTCACTTATTGTTGAAAATTTTTGTATTACAGTACTGTTTTACACCAACACACTCCATTTGAACCATAACCTTTTTGATACATGTACCCGTTCCCAATAGTTTTAAATATGGATTTGCTCCACTATTAGAAACCAGGGGGACAAGATCCTACAAATTCCCTACTAATATTTGATAAAGGCTGCCTGCTGATGTATGTTCAGATATGAGAATTTCTGAAGTATGAACCATAGAAAAATCTGAAGTCAGTTTCTGAAACCAACACAAATACTGTTTATTTGTGGGATGCCATTTTACAACAACACCAAGAAAAGACCTAAAAAAATCAACTGGATTAACTCATGTTAGGTGGCATAATAGTATTTTCATCATATTGTGAGTCATAGGAGTTTAGCACACCTTATTTATGTAATATCCAGGTAACTAAGACATAAAGCATTCACAGTTACAGGTTAACTGCTGTTCCTGCCACAGCAGTGTCAGTAGGAGCTATGTGGACACATGTACACATGCACACACACACACACAGTGGGGGAGTGGGTGAGGATTTAAAAAATAAAAGCAAACAAACAAAAAAAAATTAAGCTGAATTTTGGTCTCAATTAAAGAAAACAAATCATTCTGTTTGTGGATGGATTCTATATACTTTTACAACAATATGAAAAGACAAAATATAAGGCTTAGAAAGAGGTATGTTAGCAGCTATAAATAAAGCCAGGGCACAAGCTAACGTTTAAAGCTGCCTATATAAATTCCAAGAGTATCAAACAACTTCTGAGACTTGTGACTAAGGGTAAACAGAAATCTGGGAACCTTAACACAACTGAAGTCCATTTCTTGTGCTTCAAAATAGTAACTTGGAAACATTAATGAAGTAGCAATAAACTACGACTAATTTTAATTGTGTGAGAATATTTCTGATGAAATAAAACACACATTTGTGGAAAAATGGGAGAAGCATCTACAGAATTAGAAATGGCTACAGAAAGAGAACCCAAGTAGTTATTGTAGGTTAAAAACAACCTTAAAGAGGTTTTAACTGAAAACTCAAATACATAAATATTTTCAGTAATTTCAATGTTCTTCAGCTTGCTTTCCTTGGAAAAGATAAAAAAGTGAAGAAATAACAGCAATAGAGAATTATATTAATACTTTAAATACTTAGTTACTTTGCTTTAGAAGAAAATTTAATTCATGGACTCTTTTGGTTACTAGTATTAATAGAATCATTTAGGTTGAAAAGATTCTTAAGACTACTGAGTGGAAAGAGCTCCAAATGTTTGTCATCTATCAAAGAACATCAACTGCTATAGTCTCTGGACACTGTTTTCCTTTCACTAACTGTCTTTCGAATTTACATCTCCCAAACACCAAAAATGAACTGTAGATTGATCATCAAGTTTCTGCTAAAAGTTCAATAACAGTACACCAGTAACATTAGCACAAGACCCATAACACTTCTTCAGGAATGACCTCTCAAGTGTCTTGTCCCAGAAAACAGCATGTTTTGTACATTACTTTTCATAAGGGTTGGGATGGGAGCCCACAATCAAACAAACAAAAAAAAAATCTATATCAGCTATTTGATGGCATAATAAACAAAAAAGCAAATGCCACACTTGTACTAAATACAAGATTAACTAAGCTATTTAAGTTTCCACACTATTAAAAGTTTCTCCAATATACAGGACTAGACAATGTTAGGATCTTCTGCTTATCAGCATATTTAGCAAAACCAACAGGATGGATAGCACAGGGAAGCTCATCAAACCATAGGTTCATTTTAGTCCATTGTTCACTATAAATGTCAGTAAAGCTGTCTCTACTAGCTTTAATTGAATCTGTGGTTTATTTTATGAAGATGCATGTTTATAAACCTGCTGATGGTGACAGATTCATACTGTTTCAAATGGAAGAAAAAATTTGCAGTATCTGATTCATTTCCAAACGTATCCTTCCTTTCCATCACTCTCAATTACTTTTACCCAAATTAAAAAAAACCAAGTTTGTTTGCTTACACAACTCAAGTACTTTCTGAGGTTTCTTTCCCCATTTCTATGCTTTTAAGTAAATTTTTTATTCTGATAAACATTTGCAAAACTGCCAACACTTGGCTGAACCAATTTCTGTCAATCCTGTTATATGAAAGCTATACCTGTAACAGTAATAGATTAAAAGTGTCTTTGGCTCTTGCTTCCACTATTGGAAGCTCAGTTATTTTTGACATACAAAACCTTTTATACAAACTTGTATTTGTTGCAGGATTCACACTAATTTGTGCTGAACAGTCTCCTAGAGTCAACAGCTAGCTTAATGTTTTAAGAACAATTACATCTATTTCCCTTAAAATCTTGGCAATCACAATTTGGCCTAATGTTAAAAGTTATATTGCTTCTAAGTTCATTCTTTGAAGAACTAAACCAGCAGCTCCACTGGTATTTCATTACAGTAATACTATTGTAATATACACATTTACATCAGAAGTCTTAATAAAAGATGTGTATTCTTAGAAGGCTTATTGTAAACATTAAATACCACACTCCACTGAATTTCTTGTGCAAACTGGCAACAAACATGGAATTAAGGTTATGTGCATTAGTACACGAGAAAGCACTGACTGTGTATGTTTTACCACTACTAACTTTAAAAAGCACTATTTAGTATTATGGAAATCCAAATGTAGCTATTTCACAGGAAAGGTAGTATTCTTAACATCATTAAATTCTAGGTTTTGTATATGCATGTATATAAATATTGTATATTTACGTATATACAAATATACACAAACAGACACACAGTTTTTGTCTTTGGCAGCTGAGCTTGAAAAACAAAAACTAAGAACAACAACAAACAGATCAGAACACAAATGACCACCTGTACCATGACAATTACAACCTCCTGGCCCAGGGCAGCAAACTAACCTGCTTTTGCTAAACTAGACTTAATCCTGAAAGGAGTCAAGTCAATGGCAGTTGTTCCTCACTTGATGGCAAGGATAGAACCTTCAACACAGAAGAGAATTTCACTTTCAACTTAAAATGCTTTCCTCCTGTTCCCCTGGATGGCATTCTAGGGAAATAACAAAACTGCCAACACCTTGAAAAATATTTCTACAGAAAAGTAATGCTATTTGTTGTTCCAAAACACCCACTGGCCCTTTGTTGTTAAATGCTCCATGAATTAATAACATTTTAATAAATCCTTAGGGATAAAAGTTTAATAGCACCTGATACTTTAAGGACCTATTTAGAAATATCAATAATAACATTAATAAAGAAGGGTAAGGCAAAGACAAGAACTTCAACATTATTTCATTCACTCATTTTTTCCCAAAATAATCACTAGAACCATCCCATACAGACAGAGATGAGTGAAACAGGCAGTGGTCCCTACTAAAAAGTACTGTCACTTAATGCTGGTGTCTTACATGCCCATTGCCTGCAATGGACATTCTGCCAGGAAACTTTAATCCCCAACAGGAAAGAAAAAGTAATACTCTGACTATTCAACATGGTATTTTTTCCAATATCATATTTTTAAGTACTTAGAAACACGAAGCTGGAGGCCCTTGGAAAGACTAGTGTTACAAAGAAAATAATCCCCAAAACCTTTATCATGTCTGTGCTAGGGGTGAGCATACTTCATTCCCCAAACTTACTTCAGCTAGCACTTTCAATGTCATTGGGTCACTAGATCACAACATAGACCAAACACTCGTGGTACACCAAAAATTAAAAGGAGTATGCCAAAGGCAATTTACAAAAGTCTAAAACCCATTTTTAAAAGGTACTTTAATTTGTTCTTTTGTACCTGTAACAACTACTGCAGTTTTAACATTAAAAAGTCAGTACTTTTTTCTTCAAATGGAAATCATCTGTGGCATGTACAACTATTACAGTGTTTAAATATTTATATGTATATATATTTTTTAAGACACCAATATTTCATTCCTATAAAGCATTAAGTCAGGTTTGGCAAATTCTGGTGAAGGAAATCACAGCATGTCTTCTCTTCTCAGAAATTGGCATCTCAAATAGTAACATTGAAACCGTAAATAGTTCTTCACATAACTATGTCCAGAAAGACTGAAATGCTACATTTGAGACCAAAAGAAAAACAAAATAACTAAAGTTTCAACAGACATGTAAGTGATGATTAGAAATATGCCACAAAATTATTTTTACAATACATTTCTGCAGAAATAATTCCTAGGTGAAGCCTTTTTTTATACACATATACAAAATTTAGACAGCAATATACACATAATCACAGTGAAGACTCTGGCAAGTTCACCAATTTGTAGTGTAAATACAAAATGCAAAGCAGCCTTCAAAGAGAACAATGCTAAACAGCAAGCATAGCTAGCTTGTTAAATAGCAAACATCAAAAGTTCCTTGCCAAAGGGATGCAGTGCAAGAAAAGCAGCATGCACTTTGATACAAATAGCAGTTTATGGCTAATGGTTGACATAACTGTGGTAACAGTGACTCTTGAGTGGCTGTGTATAGTTAAACTCCTATGTCATCTGTTTTCCTTTATACCACTCCACAAACTCATCCAACAACACTGGCCCTGTGGAGAGATCAAAGAACTGTATTTTACAAAAATTTGTAAAAGAACACTGATTGATTAAGCTCAGAGAAATAAATTATTTTAGAAAATTAACAAATGGTAATACTTACAGGCTCCATCTTCATCATAGTTACTGAGGTCAAGGTTAATTGTTCTGCTGAATTCAAGAACGTTACACCATTGGTCCTTATTGATAACTTTGTATTTTGATTGCTGCTTGAGGCAAGAAATAGAAATTACTGAAATGTATTTTCAACTGTCTCAAACTCAGATTTTCTTACAGAAAATTTCAATTTTTTGGTGCCTTATTATTTTAATCTGTATGCCATCTAAAACTAGAAAGGATTAAACCAGCAAGTATTGAAACTAGTGTTGAATCATGCTTCTGATCAAGACATCTTTTAGAGGGCAAACATACCGCAATAAAAAAAAGTTCAAAAGCAAATAAATAACATTCTATAGTTTGTTCTGCATTACACAAATCTTAACAGCATAGGATTTTAGGGAAAAGGAAGAAAGGAAAGATAACCAGCTGTATGCGCTGCTTGGGTGGTTACAATTTCCTAAATCAGAACACAGCATTCTTAGCTGTTCATTCTACCTTGAGTTAAAAGTATCAAAGACAGATTAAAACCCCCCATAATTCTGTTTCCAATTCCATACCTCTAGAAACTGATGAAACACTGGAAAAAGGGACCATGCTTTTCCTAAAAGAAGGCCCAACATACATTTAGCAGTATTGATATCTAGGCTGCGCTGGTCCTTTTCCTGCATGAAAACGTCAAAAAGGAAAACAGAGCATGAATTCCAGATTTTTCACTTCCCTCACAGCTCACCCATGGACAAAATAAATTACCAAATAAATAATATACAACAGTATCTAGCAGTGTTTTTTAATAATACACAACTTGCCAGTAAGATTTCCTTCCTTATAGGTAATGGTTTGTTAGATGGAGATGTTGCTTTTTATAGATGTTCCCAATAAAACCATCACCGTTATGGCAGATGAGGCATGAGGTTATTTCTGACTTCAGACTTTCCCAGCCAGCAATGGCCACCACATCCCCAGCCAGGCTGGCACTTATGCTCTGCACAGCCACACCTCTCAGAATAGCAGTGCTGTCCCCACTTCCCACCCTATCATTACAACTATGTGAGCTGTCAATAGACACTCAGTGCTAATTGACACCTCCTTCCCTACCCGAGAGTGAGCCAAGGGAGGATCTTTGTTCAGTTATTCTAACTGATTACATGGAATTCAGATTAAATTATCAAATGAGCAGACAGTACACTAGCACACTGAGACTCCCCTCTGGACTGTCCAGTTTTAGTTCAATGTAACAACAACATATTTAAGCTTAAGGGCTGGTTTTTTTTTTTGTTTCTGCTAAGTAAGAACATATGTACTCAGCAGGTTTGTTAATCAGTGGCAAATATTTAGTAACATAACTTCTGCACATCTCAAAGTCACATGTATGTGTATGATTCCATTTTGTTAAGTAGTTTGTTCACCTACATTTGTTATCACAAAATTAAACCAATTTTGCTGAGAGATGAGATGCAAACCCCCACACTTTTATGCCTTGGTTTGAGCTACAAATTCACAAGTTATATTCACAAAAAATAAATTTCCGTATTAGCTAACATAGACCTTGTTCTGTGTATCTATTCAAGACAGCAGACTGCAAAGGCTAAATTAAGAGGTATCACAGAATCATGGAATGGATAAGGGACCACAGTGGGTCATCAGGTCCAGCTCTCCTGCTCAAGCAGGGTCACCCTAGAGCACACAGCACAGAACTGCACCCAAGTGGTTCTTGACTATCTCCTGAGAGGGAGACTCCACAGCCTCTCTGGGCAGTCTGTTTCAGTGTGTGCTCACCTGCAGAGCAAAAAAATTCTCCCCCATATTCAGATGGAACTTCCTGTGCATCACTTTCTGCTCACAGCCTCTTGTCCTATTGTTTGGCAGCACTGAGAAAAGCCTGGATCCATTCTCTGACACCTTCCCTGCAGATACTGATAGACACTGGCAAGGCTCCTATCCTTTAACCAACCTCATTGCTCTCCACTGGACCTGCTCCAGGAGCTCCATGTCTCTCCTGCCCTGGGGAGCCCAGAGCTGGGCACAGCACTCCAGATGTGGCCTCACCAGGGCTGAGTAGAGAGGAAGGACCACCTCCCTCAGCCTGCTGGCACTGTCCTTCCTAATGCTCCCCAGAAAACCACTGGCTTTCCTGGCCACCAGAACACACTGCTGACTCATGGACAGCTTGTTGTCCACCAGGACATATCCCACACAGGGATATTCTGGATGTAGGGACTGTCTAACAGATCATTGCAAGACAGCTAGCTGCCCACCACAAGGGGAATTGTGCCCTAGATTTCACCTGCAAAAATGCACTTGTATGTATTACAGAACATGCATCTTTATTAAAAAAAAACAAGCTCAAATCGTAACTGAATTGTTCTATCACACATGAAGGAATTGACAGAGCAAGATCCCAGTTCTCAGTCAACAACTGAATGCCCTAGTTACAAGGTTGTGTTCATTTCATATTAAATGCTCCTCAGTTCTAAAATTGTATAGACAGAATTTAATTCAGATTTGTTTTGAAAGTAAAGTGGGGAGACCAGCAATTCTGAAAACATGAGAAACTGTTTTGCATTCTGGGCACTAAATCCAAGAGGGATTTAGGGAAAAAAAAGTAAATTCCATGATGAACAACGCTTTTCAATTAGCAATAAAGAAGAAAAAGAAACCTGCAAAGGCATTTTTGTACTAGTATGATATAAATCTTTCACTTATTTCCAACCTCAAAAAGTTCTAAAAACTAATCCTCTTTCCAAAGGCCTTCTATACTTCTGTCACAAACACCTTTAAAGCAGAAACAATACTGCTGTCAGAATACATTTTATTTTACCTACTTTTCATACTCTGAATTCTTCCCACACACTCAAGTATTAATGAAATCAGGCTCTATTGCCCTTACTTTGGCCACACTGGGTTTTCATGCCTTATATTGTTACATTTCTACATTCTCTCTCTCAGACAACTGATCAGAACAAATCGTTCAGATAAACCCTTTCTACCCACCTCCAACTGCCTAATGGCACATCTGCCATGACAGATGATGCAATTGCATTCTTAGCTTACATTCTAAACACATTCCTTGGATACAGTTGAAGGAATTTATTTAAAAACTTTATTTTATCTTGGTATTTGTTTTACACTAATGATAGACACTCTTCCTGAGATTTTTTCCCTGAATATTTCACATTAAAGATCAATTTAAGCCATGCAATAGATGCATCTGTATGTTCTAAAACTTGGCAGTAACAAGGGCAAACATGGAGTGAGGAATGTTGTCTGTGCTTAATATCAACATATGGTGTTATAAATTATTTCCCCAAATCTACGCTGACTTAAGTCATGCATGCCACATGAAACCTTGATGACACATCTTTATTCACAAACTAACTTCAAATGCCAAATCAACAGACTCTTTAAAAACCTTTTCTCTTAAAACTTAGGAAGTTTAGACAAGTGGCTTTTTGCCATAGAGCACTCCTTTGAAAGAATTATCCTTAGGACAGAAATTATACAATCTCCTGAATGTGAAACCATCAGCTTTTTTCTATCAATCACTTCAGTGATCCTGAAAAAAAGTTATGCCCAATTTAATCTACCATGTATGAATATACCTGCCTTTGTTCTTTTCTATTTTTACTGGATGCCATTCTCCTATAGACTTTCCCCAAGTCTGTAGTATGGAAAGTTCAATAATCATAATAGCCAAATATGATTATTGAACCTCAGTTTATACGTCGTTGACTTCAAGTTCTATAATCTGCAGGGGCTTTTTGTCACAAATGAAGTCACAGCACCTCTGTCTCAATGTTTAAATTTTTTGAGACCACTGTTTATCACACCAGTTTGGTACCTCTTGAAAAGAACACACACACTATCCACCTTTTAATTATCTGCACTTACTTCTGACAGGCCATAAGCTGGCACAGGTTTGCTCTCTATCCCAAATATTTCATCAGCATCTTGAACTTCTTAGGCAATGCCTTTGCATTTTATATTCAGCAAAACTAGCAGAATAAAGCTTCATACAGCAAAGGAGGAATTAAGAGGTTGATGTAGTTTTTCTTTTCCTCACATACTAACTAATCCCAGGCATTTTTTTCTATTCAACTGCAAGTTTCCTTGTTTAAAAGTGAACTACCATAAATCTGAATGCTGAGATGCAGAAAGCACTGAGGTACCAAATATCTGAGTTGCTAATGAGATACTATCAGAACTGCTATCAGTTCAACTTCTCCTTATTTTTCTCATTTTCTCATGCTACTTTTTTTGGTGCAAGTTTTCTTAGTATTTTTAGTTTTCTTGCACTGAAATCTGAGGTTCAGTTTTACCTTTTTATGTTAAGTCTTCTGTACACTCCATCACATTAGCAAAAGGGATGTCCAAATTCTATTTCAAAATGTTATTTCAGAAAATAAAGTTCTCTTATTACTCCTTGCAAGTATGAACAGTCTTATGCATATTGGTTCCATTACAGGTAAAATTTCATCAAAGCATGTGTTATAGCAGGAAGACTAATATCAGGGTATTCTTTAATGAAAACTGAAAACACCATTAAAGCCATTCCAACAATCTTCTGAATCGGTATTTATATCATATCCAGTTTTTATCATGTTATCCATTTTTACCAGCTATTGAAATGTGTGAAGTGCCTTCCTGTTTTATATATGTTTATGCTCACAAAATTCAGAGTAAGAAAAACCACAGTAAATTATAAATTTGGGGGAACTCAGTATAAAGCTCCAATATATAACAGAATGGGGCCTAAATCATTTCCCTGAAGTCATAAAATAGCTTGAGGCAGAGACATAATTAATACAGGCCGCTAAACCACTAAGCATTACGCATTCTATATACTTTTCTTTTCCAGTTTTGACATCTTGCATATACTGTTTAAGAACACAAATTGTTCCATTTGTTCAAAGCAATCTTGAGTGGTACTTTCAGAGAAACAAACTTAGAAGTACACAGTCTTTCAGTTATTATTTATGACAGTAAAGTTTGTAATTTCAAATTGACAGTACTTACCCGTGCAAAGTCAAAGGCATATCTATAAATAAGTTTAAAATTGGTAGGCTCATTTAATAAAGATCTCAAGTAATCCAGAGAATTTCTCAATTTTTCTGTAGTATCACACCTACAAAACAAGCACCAAGTGAGTTTAGAGTCTGCATTCTTACTGAGATGCCTGATGTTCTAGGAAAGAATCTCTAACAAGTATGCCCATTACCCTGTTCAAAACACATCACTCTGTACAGACACAAGTTTTTGAGTATGTCTGCATAAAATGCCTTATTAAACCCAGTGTAAAACAAATTTAGATGAAGTAGCAAAGTCTTACACTGGGACTGACTGTCTTTGTAAAAATGCACCCTCTAACAGATAAAGCTAAGAGCTTGTCCATGCGTGGCAAACAAGCGTCAAATCAAAGCAGTGAAAAATACTTCTAAAGTCTTGCTGAAACTATAGAACTTCCTACAAAGTTTTAGTAATTCTCTTCTGGAAGGTAAGTCAAAACACTTCGTTCTTTCTCCAACTCTCTGTGAAACATGATTATTCAACTTTATTTATGTTAATTTTGCCATAAAATTAAGCTCTTAACTGGAGAAAGCAACTTTTAGAGCAATGCAGAGTTACAGAAAGGGTTGGTATTATTTAGTGTTTTACATCACTCTAACAACATAGCAATATCTAAAAGATACATGCAATCCAGCAACAAAGATTGTTGGTGTCCTTGGGGACAGAAAGAGTGTCAAACCTCATGACATTTCTCTTTTATTGGGACTGCAGATCTTTTAACCCAACTATATTTAAATGTGCAACATCAGGTTTCATCAAGTTGTCTCTAAGTGACCATATAATCATAAATCAGGCCAAAAATTTGTAACTTCTACTCCATGGCAGAGTTCTTTGCTTTAGGTGTTGAGTGAAAACACTAAAGTGTGTTTTTTCTGAAAAGCTGTGTTTACTGTAACAAATATAGTAACTGTAGAGAATTAAGTAACTATAGAGAATTTTCAAGGCACTTACTGTAGTGATGTCATTCCTTTTAACCATTCTTGTAATGTAAAGTAGCCCATATTTTGTGCATCCAACTTCCATGCTAGCACAAGCATAACTACCTGTTTTAATGAGAAAAAAATGGAGACTGAGAATTTAACAAAAAGATCCATGTGTTTTATAAATAACCACTGTTTAGTAGGATACCAATGCTTTTACTTGTATAAGTGGACAGTTCAGAACTTTGCTACAGTATTTTAGAAGTTTAAAAACCCTGTAAGTGGCAAATCTGTACACAATCCAAATGAAGAGAAGGGAATAGTACAAATACATGGAGTGAACATCTACCCAAGTTATCAGTCATCTCAAAAGCAATACAATGGGGAGAAGATGAGTTGGTGTGAAAGCTGCAGAAAAGATTTCCCAAAGTAACTACAAAATTTCAGTATCAGTTTGACAAGCTATACCTGACATTTGTTAAACCTTCATCTCAATGAGCATCATCTGCAATCCATGGAATCAATTATTTGAAAGCTAATAATGATCCCACAATTCAAGCAGATCAGTAAATCTAGATGAACTAACAGTAATACACATCAAAACACAGGCTGATATATAATACCTCAGTTTTGCCCAAAAGAAAACAGTCTTTTTCACATCTCACACAGAAGACCAAAGCAAAAAAGAATTTAGATAAGGTAATACCATAAGATTATTATCTTATTTATCAACTTAAGAAACCACTTTTGACAAATATGTGAAAGAAAAACTTGCAGGATAACTGACCCTACCAACCTGGAGAAAAAAATAATCAAGTTATTTAAATTTGCAACTTACATTTTCTGGTTCAACTCCAATGTCTTCACAAAATTTCTCCATGCCTTCTGGCCCTACAATATCATCTGTGCCTGCAAACAAAATATATTTTACTTATCTCTAAAAATTAAAATGGCCTGTCCTTTACAGCACAAAAGAAATGCAATCACATAGTGCAACCTAACTTTCATACAGTTTGTTTGCTTTGGCATTAAATAAGTATTTCCACACTTACTATCAGCCTTGGATACACTTAAGTCTTTATCTCACCTTTGAAAACAGAGAAACCGTAAAACAACTTTTCATCCCTGCCAATCTTTCAACTCATTTACTGAGATAATCTTGGAAATGTAAATTAGTAAGATTTTTTCCATAATGCACTTAAGACTAACAGAACACCCATACAATATTACCAAATTAAATGAGTGGACGTTGGCTAGTGAAACTCATGCCCTGGCTGGAATCTCTACTTTATCACAAGATCAAACCACATAAAAACATGATGTACAGCTATACAGGATACAAGGCATTATCATTCCCAGAACCTCATTCCTCATTGTCTCATATATTATCTTTATATAATGTTATCCTGCTTATTCATATTGTTACACCATGGTCACACATCATCTGTCTAACAGTAAATGCAACAGGAAGGAAATAATGAATTACAGTTATTTCTTTGCCTACTTAAAAGGAAAAAAAAGATTCAAAACACAAATGCTATTAAATGCACCACTAATAAAGCATGGTCTTAAATCAAGATATTTACAATTTCTATAATACTCTGAAAAAATTATACAGACATTATGAATTGTACTGTGCAATTCTATACTTTAAGTATTTGAACTATTTTGTTAGAATTATTTGACTCATATTTAAAAGGGCTCATTTGAAAAAAAATACATGCTGAACTGCCTACTTTCCTCCAATATAAAGATCACATGTGTAAGAAAAACAGGATTTATAAAGGGAAGATCAATCTGTATTTTATTATTAGGTGATCTATTCTAGAAATAACAAGGTTTAATTAGGTCTTTTCCCATCTTCTCATAACAGCCTCTCAGCTCTCAGAGTGTACACAACAGCCTTTAAAAAGACTCATTCTGTTATGCAAAAACACACCAAGGGAGGGAAAAAAAAACCCAAATGCAGTGTCAACTGTCTGCATACATAAAGAAGACTTATGAAGCAAGAACACAAGAGATTATTCCTTGAAAATTCAATTTTTAGAATGTTACTCAATACTGTAAACAGAATCGTACTCTCCACTTTTCTGTGTTTTATCTTGGTGTGTGCATCCAGTGGAAACCCCACAGTTCTTTCACAAACAGCCTTCCTTTCATCCTTTTTTTCCATGAAAGTCTTGACAAAAATGAGTCATGCCTGTTGCTAGAGTAAAAAAATAAATCAAGCTGGTCAGAAAGGCAGACAATCTAACAGGTTAGATTTGGCTTGAATTTGTCTGAATCTCCTCTCACAGACTGCCACAGACAAGTGAGATCTCAAAGTATTTAATTTCATTTATATAATTTTATTAGGAGAAAAAATGTTTTATTACATCAAATTAAGTCACTCTTCATTATGTTTTAAAAATAGACAAAACAGAACAAGTTAGACATGTTATTCAAGACATCACCAGAAAACTGCAAGATGACACAAAATATCTATTTAATTTCTTTTTGGTCTTTACAGTCATGAGATCATTTTCCCCCATACGTCAAATTCTTCCTTTCAGAAAACATTTGCAGGAAAACAAATACAAGAACCAACTTCACTAATAAAGGATTATCTGTGACCACAGACGATAATTAACATTCCTAGAAGTAATGCCTGAAGAAAGTTCTCATACACAAGGGCAAGAATAAATAATACAGGCTACCTTCCCTATACCTTGTGATGCAAAACTATCTGATAAAACTAATACAGGATATTTGAATTCATTCACTTCTTTGCTTGAAACCCTCAGCACCAGATTCAGCAGGAACAAAACTAGCATTACTACCTCCCTCACCCTTTAGATTTTTTAATTGAAGACACACCACTTCTGAGGTTAATTCTGTACTATACAGCACTAACATGGCAGATGATAGAGAGGTAACAACATTTTCAACAGAAGTACAGCTTTAACTGTACATTTGAATAGTAATACATGTTCCAAAATATTTCAAATTACACACCTTCTGTATTCTTTTCATAGGATATAGACAAAGACAAAACTGAACCTTGAACTCTTCAACCTCACATCCCAAAGGATAAAGGGAAGTTTCTCTAAGACTTCTACAAAACATCTTTTATATTCCATCTTTTGAAAGCTCAGTTAATGCAATTTTCATATTCCAACATAAATCTAATTGTTACTGGTAGGAAATTTGCATTTCACACTTACCTGCATATTCATAGAACCATTCTAAGCATCTCTTACTTGAAAAGACTTCTTCTTCCTCTGCTTTTATTCTAGTTGAATCATATTTTCTATACATACTTAGAAAAAAGAAAGAGAAACAAGTAATTAATTAATCAACACTTTTTAAAAGCAATCTTTTAGTCAACAGCCACTCTTAGCAGAAACATTATTCCTTTCAGTTTACTCAACATTCTGTCCTCATATCCAGTCATTTGGAACACTGCTTAAGAATCAATGACACTAAATACTTGGTTTGCTCACTCTGTCATACTTCCACTGATTCATAATCATTACATTAATGCCACTACATTACACATGTAATGACCTTCTCCTAAAATGAATATAGGTCAGCTCAAATTCAACCCCAAACTGTTCTGTAAAAGTTCACAGTAAGGCCTTGCCCTACACCACCAGTTACCACAGACAGCTGATGGGCTGCAATCCAGCTGTGGGTCTATGGTCAGAGTAATTCCATGTCACAGTCAACACAGGTCCTACCTCTAGGTGCACTTTGAATTATTAACTAAAGAATACTGCAAGCACTCTTTTTGCTGCCTGGAAAAGATTCTACAAAAGGCATAAAGGCCAAAAGAGACAAGACCTACACTTTTATTATTCTAAAGCCAGTAAATTGGTAACATGAAAGAAGCACAGAAAAAAAAGGTTGAAAGTCCTCATAGACAATACCTCAAGGGATGTCATTCATCATGGAACACAGAACCATCTGAAAAGCTGGCCCCTTCCCCTAGAGACTACCAGCAGGCTAATGCTCTTCTCCTTCAACAAGAAGTGTAAGGAATTTTAACAACACTAAGGAAACAAATTTAGTATCTGAAACACCTAAAGCACAGAGAACATGACAGAATGTGAAGGGTCACTCCCTCAGTTAGACCTTCTGAAACAGGCACAATATCATTTGTGCCTGCTAGAGGAAAGAGACTCAGCAGTCCAAGTAGTTAACCACTGCTGCATATGCATTCTCTGATCCATTTCCACCACTCTTCAGAGCATGGGCTCAAAGGCTGAAAAGAGCAACAAATAAATGGTTTAGTCTAGAGGTGGTAGCCAAGAACAGCTCTGTAAGTGTTCCAAGCATGCAGAGTTTCCTCTCACAATGTCAAATCCTGATGGGGGAAGACAATGAAGCAGCTAACTGGATCAAGGAGAATTTTGAAACCATTTGAATAATGAAATTAATTTGGAGCTGACTTCATCACTGTTTTATCCTTCTAGAAAGACATGTAAAAGACACCTAGATTTATGAGCTTAGAAGACACAGATCTCACTATCCTCCACCTAGCTCAGCTATCAGCTGTGAGGAAGTGTAGCTAGAAGTTAACAGCACACAGATCATTCTGACAGGAATTCAAAGAAATATTTCATGTTTACTGTCATAGTTCCCTTAAAGCAGCTAACCTTTAAAAAAGTACTACTAGTCAGAACAAAATGATAAATTTTGCTAATTAGAAGAAAAATACAAATGAGGCTCTTAAGAAAGTTCTTATGAAAAATTGACACTGTACTGAAACACACTGATCTACAACAAACTGGAACACTGCATAGAAATGTCAGCCATATGTGTTCCAAAAACATTCATATACTCACAATTTTAGGTTTGGGTTTTTTTCATTTTGAAAACACTCTTTTCCTATTTGAATTATCTATTTTGCATAAGCTTTACTGAAGCTGCAAAGGAAAAGGCTGACAGCATCGCTCAGTAAGAGGTAATCCAGAAGGTATAAGTCTGAGTTGGAATAATTTTTTTTAAATAGGTCTGATAACATTTTCACACTTGCAAAATGAACTGTGATTATGAAAGACCTAGCCAATAATTTTTAGGGTACTCTGAATTCAGAGCAATCAAGACAAAGAAAGGAGGCATTCTGCCACTTTGGCAAAAGTTTTAATTATTCAGTATCCCCTTTTTTGTCACAAACAAACGTGACAAACACCAAGTAGAATACCAAGTTGGAAACTGTAGTAGGAGCTAGTCAACATCTTTATTCTATTCTCTTTATTCAAGAAGTCTGTAAGAGTACTGCTGGGACTGAGGACATGGCAAAGCTAACAAGGTTCACAAAGAAAGTTATTTATCACAAGACTCAATGCTTTTTCTTACAAAGGGATGATAATCAATTGTCTTGCCCTGCTTGTTCATGTAAATCATCAACACATTAAGCTGCCAGTATGCAAACAGTGCATTTAAGAAGGAACTCAAGAAATAGACTTATTGACAGAGCTGTAAGTCATTCAGGTATTTTAGGAAAAAAGGTATCCTGCATCTACAAATGGCAGAGCTAAATACTGCAGCCTGAAACAAGACATCGGTGCCAGCAGTATAGATAACAGGAATGGTGAGCAAGAACAGAAAAAAACAGCCCTTTTTATACATTCTCTGCATCTGCACATAGCAGAAGAATTTCAGACAACTGATATGAGATTGAAAGTCACTTGTCTTAAGGGCTAAGGTCACAGTTCAGGAACTGCAGGAAATAGCAATAATAAATTAAGTCCATGTGCCCAACATATGGCCAAGTAACTCCAATTAAAATGCTCTTGCCTCAAACTTATGATTATTCAAAAAGCACAATACCTGACCACTGGAGTTTGATTTTTGAGAAACCAGAACTGACTACAGATATTCCAGCTTGTGCCAGTTGACAAGTTCAGAAAATAAAGTCAAAAGGGATATTATCTTGAAATATTACCCACTCTCTGCTATAAGCTAATTAGCCAGACGCATTAACAGTGCATATGACCCTGTATCACGTTTATAATGAAAACAGACAATGCATGGTCAGAATTAGTGATCTCATGTATAAAGACAAACCCTTTGCTTTCCCTGCTTACTCCACACATTAAATGAGTGTCTCACCCCAGCCTAGCCAAGCCAGCTATTTCTACTAGCAAGAGACTCCTAATCTCTGAAGTGCCTAGGGAAGCAAGATGAGTGGGGAGATGCAAACAAGTAAGTAGACAAGTACCTGAGATTACTCAGCCTAGGACAACTTGGTTCAATCTAGTGGCACAGAGTAAAGGTGTTTTTAAGGACTACATCCCCTGAATTATGATTAATATAGATTTTATTATCTCAAGAACCATATTTACAGAGGAGAAAAACACAAACTTCCAGACACATCTGGCATCCATTTTATATCTTGCAGTATTCCTCATCTCTGTGGAATTTCTCAGTATATACTGCAAGATGATGCACCTTGTCTTTGTTCTAATGACAGTATCTCTTGCTATGCAGAAAAATACACTGCCAGACTGCACAGGGTAGATATCTGAATACTTTGGGAGTACCAAACATCTAATGAACAGATCTCACAAACAGCAAGTCATCAATGGCTCACAGTTTCATCAAGATGACCAGCACCAGTATTTGCAAACAGATGCACAACCCTTATGTCAACCACATTCTGCTAAGTAATTTGCTTCCATATTGATGGTCTGTAAAAGGAAACTGCCAGTCACAGGAAACTGCCAGCAAAGTGTCAGTCACACACCAGATGTGAAACAACACAATGCTCACCAAAAAAAAGAAAAATAAAAAAAAATAAAAAAAAAGGAAAAAAAAAAAAGGGGAGGGAGAGGGTGAGAGCAGGCAAGGCACAGGGGAAAAGTAAAAAACTCAAAAAGATGCCTTCCATAAATGTACCTGGCACTTCTGGCACTTTTGGTACTAGAATTTGCACACTGTCAAAGAATGCTGGCACTGAAACAGGATTGCTAAGGGCATTTTCTCCATCATCAGTTAGAAAGGTGCAAGCACAGTTTTATCCCAGAGTGTCTGCTATATCCATCACTACCACACAATATCAAACTCAGAACCTTTGCCTTTAGAATTACCCTTCCATTTCTAACTCATGACATGAATATCCATCAGGAACAGGAAAAAGAAGAAAAGTATTACTTACAGGCTAAGTATGTATTTACCTCTCAGATAAAGCACACATGTAAGTACAATAACTCAGAAAAATCTTCATTTGAAAAATAGCTTTTTTTTTTTAGTTTAGCATGATACTGTGTCAGTGACAGCAATATACAAGTTATTTGTAACAAATATCCCTGTAAGGAGCATTTAGGTTTTTTTTTTATTATTATCTCTTTCTAACAGCCATTTCATCAGCTAGAGAGAGGAAAGAATGTGGGACAGGGCAGGGCAAAAGCAACATGAGATAACCCGTCTAAATTTTGTAAGAGTGATTTCAGTTACTCAACCACATCAAAATGTAATAATTTTCTCAGAGATGCTTGCACCTCCATCATGACCTAATGGCTGACTCATAACATCCATGTTCAAACATATATATGAAATACTCATGTGAGCTAGGGAACTGTAATATACCAGCAAAAAAGGTAAGACAATGTAGTTTATAACTGGAAGTGCTATAGGCAAGCATCAACAACCACAAAAAAAAATTAAAACTGAGTGTCTAGGCACTTCACACTTTGTGGGAACTTTAAATACATGGTCCACGTTTTTCCAGATTATTTTCTTCTCTTCCTACCTAATTTGGTGGGAAAACAAAAGCATGAAAATTCCATCCAACCATAATGGGGTGACTAGGCAAGTGACTGTAAAAGTTGATGGTTGCTGCCAGCAAAAAGAACAAGGTAAGGGCAATTCTCTTCAACCCACTGCAGTCTTCAAAGCTGGGTTATCTGCTGCTCTGAGCATGTTTCACCTGTACTGGAGTTGGTTAAAGCTCCAGCCGCAGTCCCTCCCACTGCACCAACTCTGGGCTGTGTTCTAGCTCCAGAATATTCCAACCAAGATCAGTGAAAACATGGAGCTTAGGTCACAGAAAACATTCTCTTCATGGTGGAAGCTGGGAATAATCCATTGAGGAGGAAAAAGAAAATCAAAAGGGAAGGGGAAAAAAGCTATGTTTTATTATGGTAAGTCAAAAGCCTCTCATGAAGATCTACCGCCTGGTTATTTCAGATGGTCAGTGCTTACTGAATGAAGACATCAAGAAATTCACCAACAGAAGCTTTGTTTCTAAGCAACCAGAACTTAGTCAAAATCTTTTCTGAATTTTGTTTGAGTTTTGAACTAAGTAACTAATTGCTTCCAGATTACTTTTTTTTCAAAACATGCCAATTTTTGATTGAAGAAGATGCCCCACACTACTTCCATTAATACTTATTAATTTTAAATTTTGGCTGAGAATTTTCATCAATGCAGCACAATGAACATACTTTAATAAAGCCTTATCTATTCACCCACAATTATAATTCTAGCAATAGTTTCATAAAATCTGCAGTAGAAACAGAAGGGTGGGAGAAGAGATGTTTTGCAATTTACAAGACATGACAAAAACAGTTTAAAGCAACCGTCAGGACTAACCTGACTGTTAAGTTTTATGAAGGAATATACCTTATGTCTCCTTGTTTAAAGACTTACAATCATTCCTAAACTGTTAAATGTTTGGAACTTTATCAGGTTTACTTAATGAGCAGTATGTGTAACAACACACATGCTGATAGTCATATGTCCAGTTTAAGTGAAGTGTGCTGAAAAGCTATAGAAAATGGAAAAATTATGCTTGTGTGTACCTGAAAACCCCTACTTCAAGCAAAAAGATCTACACATCTATGACAGCTGGGAACACAGGTGGTCTGCATGGGGCAGGACCTAACCAGATAGTAAACAACAGCAGAACAAAAACCAAACCAATTCTCAACACTAAAGGTTTGGAAAACTTTGGAAGTTAGTACATCTTATGTTAATGTCACTCTGTTTTCAAAAACTGCATTTTTCCACACAGAGTATGGAGTTTACAATTCAATACAGAAAACCTATTTTTCATGTTAGTAGGCCCTTTTGTGGTTCCTACACACATAAGGGTAAATTCATTGAAAACATTTATCTAATTGTTTGAAAACCTAAATTTCAGAGAAGTAGGTAAATATTCCTAGTTTTCATCCTCCTGAAGTGACAATACCCATTACTGCAAGGCTTTTGCCCTCAGTGTGATTCCAGAATAAGGAGTAGAATTACTTTTTAAATGAGACTGTCAAAACATAAGACATTATATTGAACAGCTCATTTTTCCCTATTTGGCTAGATATGATGTAACAGATAAGCAGCATAAAACAATTACCCAGTGAGGACTATTGTTTTACCTAGCAAGTATCTTTAGATGAATCTTGCTTTACCTTTCTGAAGATGCTTAACATAGTGATGGAAGAACAATGTACAGAAAATGTAATTTTAACTCCAATTTGAGAATACTCTATACTGTGACAGCTTTAAGTACAATAAAGTCAAGACTGTGATACTGAGATGAAAATACAAACGAAGTCTTCAAGTGATTATGTTCAAGTTAGCACATGCTCAACTGTTTACTTCCAACAGCTATTCTTTAAGGCAAGATAACTCTTACTGTTATCTATGGAGCACTGAGTTCTTTTTATTATTCATCATCTGGTATAAAAATTCCCTCCCGCTGAAACACTGCATTCATTCATGGTTCATGGTGATGCTATAAACACTAATTAAGAGAATTCAAGTTCTTATTATGTAAGGGTGCAATACTAATGAACATGCTTGGAGACTTCTATAATCAGTTTATGCACTAGATCAGCATTTCCAAATAATTTCATAACTAGATTTCTTCCTATAAATGTTTTTCCTCGATTGCCTGTGCATTCCACCAGTGCTTCTGAGATGACGCTGTACTCCTAGCAGCTTGAAATTAAGGGTGTAAGACATGTTTAAGTTTATAACTTGAAGAGTCTTTAGAAACTATCTTCTCTTTCAGCATAGAGACCTGCTGAAAGAAACTTTATGGAAGAAGGCATATCTAAAAATATTCCTATCAGATCTGAAGAGATTATAGGAATGAATAAAAAATAGTGAAGACTGAAAATATCACCCAACAAAACACTCCATTACAGATTAAAAAACCCCACATTTTTATAATGGACAAACCAGAAAAAATCATCAACCTTCAGTCTCAGTTGCAGTTAACACCATTAATGATGACATCCCTTGAAAATCTTTGGACTACTACCCAATATTTTTCCACTGAGAACAAACAGGAGACTTTGAATTACTGAATTTGTTAATGTTGACTCTATAAGTATGCCACTGTAGCTGAGAAACACACAAAAATGTATGTCATTCCATTAAGTATTTGAAGTGACAAATCACTTCTGTTAGGAAAGAGAGGCTCCTCTGGAGAGGACTGTGTAGCTCTTCAGACAGTGACTGCCTTTCTTCACTTAATACAGAATCCACACAGACTAATGTCCTGTGAAGGCTTATCCTGAGTTACTAGAATGCAGCTTCTAATAATTCTGTCTCTAAAACAGAAGCTGAGAACTGGGCCTAGGAGACCCTTATTCTATAAACTGGTATTCCACTATACTCTTTTTACTGTATATAGCATTCTCTGCACACAATGTAAGCAGAACTGGCTTTGTAAACTAGGTATGCTACAGCACACTGCTGTAGAGTTTCCTGATTTCAGACTGATTTCTGCTCAACTAACTGAGATGTCTAATCCAAAAACTAAACTTGACAGCTATGAACTCCACCTGACCAAAACAAGCATGGAAGTAGGAGACTGCATTTTTACTAACCCATTCAAGAAGATTACAGGGGTAAAAATCCTTCCTTGAAAGAAAATAAAACTTCAAGACCAGGCTGAATGTCCAGCAAATAATTTCATATTGCCAGTCATGCTGAAATAAAAAACTGTTTTCTTGAAGACTAAAACAAAATAAACACTCTGGAAAACAGAGAAAGCTCAAAAACCTTTATAGGAAGTCAGTCAGATAAAAACTGGAACCACATCAGAGGATATTACCCCATGGCTCATGACTAGCAGATCTGGTTTCTCCTCCAATTCTAAAAGCAGGCTGAGATCTTCCCTTTAATAAAGACTTACATGGCAGTAACATGAAAACTAGATCCATTAGTTATAAACTGAGAGGCAGATATTAACAAATCCTTCAAATTACATTTGCAACAAGCTCTTAAAAATGATGAAATATCCAGTATTCAGAGAGCAAAAAATCAGGTTTTTATAATTTTCTTTTGTAATTACACAAATCAGTATTTCTTACTTACATGCAAGCTTACTTTTTAGGGGGTTGCTTTTTTCTATCATCAGTGTCTTGGCTAAGGTAGGTAGAGCTCAGTTTTATGAACCCCTCTATATTCTACAAAGGATCTGTCCTTGTATTGCTTCCACATTGTATGCCTATCTGTGAATAACCTGTAATGCCCTCCATCAACTATTTACCTTTTATATTTCATTATTTCTGAAAAGGAACAAAAAATATTAAGGACATGAACAGCTTTTTTGTTCTAGTTAGTGTTACAATGCAATGAAAGAGAGAGTTGAAATCTCTTTCTTCTGCATCAAGAGATCATTTAATAAATTCCAGTGCAGTTACACTTGTGCAACCCTATTAAACACAATGGAGTTATAGGGGCATGACCAGAGGCTTAATTTGGCTACCAGTATTTTTCTTACTCATGCTAGACTATAAAAAGGAGAGAACCTAGCCTGATTTCAGGCTGACAGTTTGGAGAAAAATGCCTCTTTTAACCTCCCTGAAGGTACTTGCCATGGAAGCGTGTGTTTTCTGGGACGTCAGTAACACATGAGTATAACAGAGCTCAAATTCTACTGATTGATGCAGTGCCAAGCAAACTTTCTGGTTGTATAAGCCACTTTTCAACATCAGAGCAGTCCTGTATCTATCATGCAGGAGTGTGCAGTCCTATACAGCCTCAAGTTCTGAATTTAGTCCACATAAATAGTGATTTTTGCACACCCTGAGCACATTCAATGCTTTCTGAATGACTCACTACACATACTGGAAATCCAGCACTTGCAGAGGTCTCAGCTATCCAATACTTCATGCCAAAAGAATACACTGTTCATGCACTCTCTTTAACCTGTTTGGCTTCTGCTGTCCAGTGAGAAGCCCCTCAATAGCTGCTGAACTACTGGCTGTCACCTTACCTGGGCAATTTCCCTTCTATGTTCAGTATCAATCACAACAGAACAGGGAGAGACTAGCAAGATTTTAAGAGCTGAGTGGACTATAACTACATTCACTTTTTTGACAGGCTAGAGATTGATAACAGCCAATCCAGACCTTATGCATGTACATGAGAAAATGGTACTGTATCTCTTAGAAGTTGGTTTTGAACAAACAAGTACATATCTTCATAGCTGGCAACTAGAGCAAGGAAAAGTTCCCTACATGCTTCTTGTACGTCTAGAGAAAGGTGAGATGCAAACTGAATCTACATATACTTATCAATATCCCACAGTTCAATCACCAGCTATGGTTCCACATTGAGAAACCAAGTAAATTTCAATATTATTTCCATTAGTATTTAAACACATGATATATCAGCTCTTCAACTTTAGATATTCCATCAGTCTTAGCTCATGGTAAGATGACATACCCATCATGTCTACTTTTCTTAGCAGATAAATCATCTCCTGCTGCAGGTCTCCTCTTTTTCCTTGGAGGCATCACTTTACTAAAGCAGTCTGATGAACTGCAAGACCGAAGACTTCCTACAGAGGGAATTAAAAACACCAGCACAAAGAAATGAAACTGTTGCAGACCAGTTAAACTGTGTCCACTAATAGGCATATTACAAAGGAAAGGGAAGGCAGTTAGGGGATTTAAAAATTAAAAAAGAAACAGTCTCCTTTCAATAGCAAAATCCATCTCAGCTTTACATGGTTTCCTATGACCAGATTTCCATTAAGGTCAAAAGTACTATAGCAAAATGCACAGTAGCACTGGCATTACTCCAGTCTAACAGCAATCAAGAACTGACACTATCCTAAAGACGTATTTCGTTCCTCAAAAAGTCATCCTTATTTTTAGTCTTTTATTCAAATCACAAGTTCTAAGAGTTGATCATTGCTTTTTGAAATACAGATGTGAGTGAACACCTACCTCTATAAAACAGAACTTTATTTTCAAGCCTCAAATTTTTTGTGATACAGAGAGCAAGAGGTAGGAAAGGTTTTGTTTGTTCTTTGGTGAGAGGGTTTTTTTCAGGTTTTTTGGAAAGTTTTTTTTGTTTTGCAGGGACAGGTAGAGACAGTCAGCAAACACCAGGGAAAGAAATAAGTGGCTGGCTGTATTATTTGCACTGAACAGTTCTCAAAAAATGAAGGTCCCCAAATAGGAAATAGCCAATTCAAGACACTGATGCCAATCAGGTGGCAGTCTTTCCATCCCCTTCTCTCAGCTACATACTCCTGTCTCTGGTAACTCTTCCGTGTGCCAATCCAGCTCACCAAACCTGTACATAATTAACCAAGGAAAAAAGAATAACAACTTTCTGTACATTAGCACAAGAAAGAGCACAGGACCAGCCCTTTTGACCACAGAAAGGCATTAAATTGCTTTTGCTGCCTCATGAAAACAGTAGGCTAACATCCAGGCACAATTTTGTCCTACTTTCGTGTGCTGAAGACCACAGTGACACCTGAGAAAGGTGTGTGTAAGAGCAGCTCCAAGAGCTATCACACCTCTAAGTGTTACACAGAGAATTTGAAAAGAAAAGGAAGAGAGAAGTGAGGTATAAAAATCCAGACATAAAGCGATGCCAAAGAAAATTGCAAGAAAACATTAAGAACTCCAGCATTCCTAAGCTATCTTCTCTTTGCTACAACAGCATCCAAGTTTAGCTACGCTCAATCAAGATGCCCACAAAATCTTTCATCATACAACATCACAGCACAGAAGCAAGCAATAAAACTTTGACTGCTTTTTGACACCAAGGGAACAGACTGAAATCAGAGGCCCAATTCCCAACAAACACTGACAGCAATCTTTTGCTTACCTATTCTTCGAATCTTTGAAAGGCTCTCTCCTGTTATAGGAGAAACACATGTAAGGAACCTTCGAGCCTCACAGGCTTTGCTACATGTACATTATTTAAACATGCATGGAAATTCTAACCCATAAGAAAGTACATATTTCTCTAGTATTATGTTCATATTTCTCTAGTATTACGTAAGATGTTCGACCCAATTTTTACACCAAGATGAACTAATCTGGTTTCAACTAATAAAGTTTTTGCACTAAGTATGCCTTCTTTGGTCTTATCTTTATATTCATTTCTATCTATTAAGAAGAAAATTCATCTCTCTAGTTCAAGAAATACTCTCCAATTAAAAAAATTCTTCCTATATATTCTTTTTTTTAACCCTAAAACTCCCTCCCCATTATTGTCCTAGGAGAGTATGGCCATACACTGTCTTTTTGAAAGAGAATTAACAGAATTGTAAATTCAAATTACAGTTTAACTAATCATCAAAAAACTTGCAAGTATTATGGTCCATAAACTATTACCACAAAAAAAATCGTAATGGCTGTGTCAGAAGAACATACTTCTAGAAGCACTGTCCAGAACACATTACAAAAGGAAATTAGTGACAATAGTATTTATTTTCTCCTCAACAATATGAGATATACTTGAAACAGGTAAGCCAGAGACCATAAAAAACTCAAGAGTACACCCAAGGCATTTTACAAATTAAACAAACTAAGGAACCTGACCTGCTGAATGTCATTTGCTCCATCTAGTTATGCCTACACATTAATGATACTGAAAAACTCTACTCTCAAAAGTTATTGAATCTGCAATAATTTATCTTTCAGATCAAATTTCTGAAGACTCTGCCAGTAAGTATTTTTTGAAAGCCTACACAGACTAAAAACACCTAAGATGACAGCAGAACTCAACAGATGGCTAGAAAGAGCCAACAGACTTAAGACACACACTGAACTTAATAAATGAAAATGTGATAGTCAACACCTCTTTTTGGTAAATATGCATTTACTTAAGTATAACCTGTAGCTATCTCATTCCTTTGAGAGCAAATAGATTGCTTTTAAGTGCCTTTCTTTTAAAAAAGTAAAAATCCATTAGCGATGGACACAGGCATTGGATGCTGGTAAAATGCAAGAAAAAAATACACATCCCCCTCACCCCCCACAAATTTGTGCAGTTTACTGGTCAGTTGATTGTGAAAAGAAATATGAAAGGCCTCTGTGACAAAAGAAGCAGAGCAAAAGAGAAAAAATAAATAAAAGTAAAATAAAGCAGTTATAGAACAGAGAAATCATTTTGTCAGACCTGCAACCCCATACAAACCAAAGAACTTAACTCAAGAATTCCTGCTTGGACTTTTTGCCTCCTTAAATGATAGGATGTTTTTAAGAAGATTGGTGAACTTGTTTTAAAGGCTTAAACTGATCACAATTCACTACACAACCCAATTTCTCTAATGACTCCTATGAAAAACTTGTATCCTTTTTGGTTTGAATGTATCTAGTTGCAGCTCTCAAAGGCACAGAAAAGGGAAGAAAAGAGACAGCTCAGAAATTGGTAGGTTTAAATGCACACATACACTGCCCTCACACACTGACAGCTGACAGCACACAGACACCAGGTGTACATATTGTAAATGCTTTCCAAGACTTAACATCTTAATAACTGGGGTTTGGAGCAAGTCTACACTAGACTTTAGCTTTTGAATAATCTCTAAACTATTAAAAAACAGTGTAAGGATTTTACTTTCACAGCATTTCTTTTGTTACTAAAATTGGTGTATTAAATTTGAAGGGCAGTTATAATTTCTTTGAAGGGCAGAATATTTCTTTCATTTTCATATAAAGCTAAAAATTATCAAATTAGTTTTTTTTACTTTGAACTCCTGCAATTTCTTAATTTACAATACAGCTCACTAAATAGCAATATTAACCTTTCCTACACAGAGCTTTCTAATTCTAATGTAATTTTAGATCTAGCAGTGTACAACTAATTTCTCTTCCCAAAGGTCTGACCATCTGCAAACAAACATGCAGCTACCTCTGACTACATGTAAATTTGACAGAATTTTACTTACCAAGTGCAGCTTTGCTGATGTGATTATCTTCAAAGTTTCTCACTCCTAGGCCTCAACTCAAGATTGGCAGAACCCTCCTAGTTCTCCTTGGTTTTTTGACACTTGAAACTAGCATTTGCAAGGTAGAGCCTCCAAATGGCTGCTGAATAGACCACCACCAGCCAAAAGCCTGTCAAGTTTAAATGCTGTTTGCCAAACATCCTATTGAATACTTCCAAATTTGCAGGAGACAAAGCTTCCATATGGAAGTATCAATTCAAGAGCTAAAATTCACCCTAGGAAATTTAAAACAATATATAAAATAAAACCCACAAGAGAGGGACAGCCCTAGAATAGCAACAAAACCAGAATAAGAAAAAATAAAAAAAAAGTCAAGAAAGAAGAACTCTACAAGCTGTGTCCCTACAGAAATTATTTACAGGCATGGCACTTTCACCTTCTCTAGCTAAAGCCTGTGAGGAATCCTGCTCTTCTGATGCTTCAGTAGAAGGATGCTTCAAAGGAAAAATAATTAGAAACTGTGAATGCTGAAGCAATTGGGAAGATACAGCTGATCACTTAATAATGCAACAAAATGACCACAAGCATAGCTAACAATCATCAGACACAAGATGAGAAGCTAAGATACTCATCAAAACATTAAACAACTTGCAATGCTGTTGCAAAAGGAAAAATCATCTTCTCTGTCTTGAATTCCACACTACAGAACTGCTCTGGACTCAAGGGGGGTTTCTTCTCTAATCTAACAAAAGAAATAACCAGCAGAGGCAAAAGCAATTTCTCCCCCTGCAAAGACACATGAGCTGCAATGAAGCCTTCTTTTTGTTGAAGAGGTTATCTCACTGTTTTAAACAGGTCAGGTGACAACAAGAAGCATACTTTTAAAGACTTTTTAGTCTGGACAAGTAAGTCACAATTTAATTACCAAATCATAACTTTAAGCTATTAACAAGCTCCTAGATTTGTAGTTATGACATAAAAACAACTATTATTTCCAATGTAAGTTTTCCAAGTTAATGCATATACATACTAAAAGAAAAAGAAATTGTTTACAGAATCTGAATGCCTGCTGTTCTTACACCTACAAACAGGTTGAAAAGGCAAAGCCCATGACACACTTGAAGTCTATCTTATTTTTCAGACAGATATGCATACTGAATTATAGCACATGAGACTGCAATCATTGTAGGGGACCAGAATTTTGAAAGAAGATTCATCTTAGCTCTCAAACCACTGAAGGAATTTTGAAACTGCCACTTCCCTGTAGTCCATTGGTGTTTTAGGGCCTGGTTTCAGACAGGCAATCTGGCTAATACTTAGAAAAGATACAATTTGCTTCTAAGTAATTTAAATGTCCAAGACATTTTTGTTAGCTTACAAAGAACTGCTTTGAAGTAAATGTGATATGCATTTAAAACTTAACATTATTATTAATAAATATTAACCTAAAACTAAGATTTTTTAAAATAGCTTTTAGAAATCCCAATCCAATTTAGATAAGCATACATTAAGTCATCCCAAAAACAAAGTCCACAACCTAATGACAATAACCCAGTTAATTATGTCAGAAAATTAACAGCAATCTTTAAGAATAAGGCCTGGGTCAGAAGATTTAGGGTTAAAATAATCTCAGAACTATAAAAAACCTTGACATGGGTTTGGCAACATTAAAACCTTTTGCAACAGTTCTTAATCTGACTTTCAAATGAGTTCTAGACACAGAATCTTAAATTTACAGCACCTAAACAGTTTTATAAATTGTGCAACAAAATTAATAGGTCTTGACAACTTCTTACTGGAAAACAGAAGTTCCACAAGTTTAGGCACATTGAAATCAAACATTTTTCAAAGGTAACTTTATAGATTTATGCCAGTCTCTCCAAGTAAGATGTTTCAGAAGTGTCAAGTCCCATACAGAACAGAAACAGAAGACCTCACTGTACTACATTCATGAGGGCCAAAATAGCTCCTTGCATGTGTATTTGTCCTCATTTGAGTCAAATCGAACACACATTTCAACTGAACATGCCTGGAACTTATGCAAACATTTGGGCTTCATCTCTTCCTACAAGGAGACATAAAACAGGGCAGAAGCATAATAGTGGAAATAATATCTGAAGATGAGGAGGCAACCTGGCATTATCAACCTTTACTTGTGGTTCTCATTTCATATTTGTTTCTGGTTTGAAAGGTTTTACAGCTATTGCAAAAAAACTGCTCCCTTTACTGGGCTTTTGTGTCCCAACTCATTCAACAGGCACATTTACACTTTTGAAACAGCTTAATTCAAACAACAGTGTGCAGGCATAGGATACTGGCTTTGATGAATAGTTTTGTACTGACACTGATGGTAATGTGCTCAAGCACCTTCCAATACAGGTAATGAGAGCACCAAGGCTAATTTCTTATACTTTATGACAGAAGTGCTAGGCAAGAGGTAAGACAAATCCCAAATACCTCAAGTACATCAACACATCCTGATTAGTGACAGAAGGGGACTACTTCAATGCTTCACAACAGGTCTTGGTGATCAAGAGTAAACAAAGATTATAGAGCACATTTTCATACAGGAAATCAGTATGTAGCTGTTCAGTTTAGAGCACCTGGGACACATAGGAGAAAATTCCAAGTCTCCATCACAAGATGGGAGGACATCAGATCTGAATTATGGACATTAAAATCTCTGTCTTCAACTATTGGTCACAACCTCTTCTTCAGAGGCTTTTCATATACATAATGAGCTAATTTCAAGTATCAAATCACTAACCACACTGAAGGAAAGTATTTCAGAGAAGCCTTTTGTGGCTAGGGCAAGAGTTCAAGCATGAAACAAAGTGACCTGCTGCTGTACAGAGGAGGGTGCATAATCCCTAAGTGAGCTCTGTCCAATCCCAAGCAATGCAGTCCTGTGCATCTCTTCTCATTGCTCTAGGCTAAGAGTGTGCTAGATTTGTAAGTGTGTGCCACAAATCTCCAGGAGCTGACAGCTCTCTCCACTTTGCTAAATGCTCAAGGTAACATCAGCAAATATAGCCATCACCTCAGGACAGTGAAAAAGCTTTGAGTCAGATGGTAGGACTGACATGGTCAGTTTTAAAGAATAGTCTGCTGAGTGAGTGATCAGGGCTTGAAGGCAGTGCAAGAGGTAAGAACCCTTGCAAAACATCAAGTCACAAAGCTCAAATGCTGACAAATCAAGAATGACAGGAAGCTGGTACCAGGCACCTGAGAAGAAGGTCTCAAAAAATGGTGACACTTCATGGAACAAAACACAGATATGAACTCAAAAATAGATAGTACTCAGACACTGACTGAAAAGCTGCACAAGAAACAGAAATAACCTGCATCAGAACGAGTCAAGAAAAAAGCTGGTTGTTTGGAGCACAGCATTTAAACTCAGTCACAGGTATCACAACAGCCAGATGAGGTTTTGCTTCTGCTCTGTTCTCACTAATGCTCTTTCAAGACTCAAAACACTGTAAGAACATGGATATTCTGTGGCCCATCAGGCTGAGTCCCAGGAGTGAGAGAAATTTTTTATTAAGTCTTCTAAACTAAGAGACAGTAAAATTACAGATACTGCTGATACCTGTTCAGGTCCTTCATAATTCGGTAAATTAAAAGCACAAACACCTATTTTGAAAAAAACTAAGAAACCCAGGCACTTGTTTCCTAAAACTCCTTTAGCCTTCTAAAACATCATTTTCAGTTATGCTAGAGAGACTTGCTTAATAAAGCGTGTTTAAACTGTTTCCATCTATTTTTACTCCATCCCTATTAAATACCTGTCTGGTGATCGTCTTGACCAACGTCCTCTGTCAGATTCTGCAAGAAACAGGAATGACACAGTTAAACAAGACCGTGATCTTCGTTCTTCTGTACTATTTTAAACTTTTACTTGATAGTAATATTCATCCTAATTACTTAAGGATCATCTGCCTAAGATTGTAGACTCGGTGTTTTCAGCTCATATTTACCTAAAAAGTTACATTTGCACATTTATCTAAAAAGTTCAAGTAAATTGAATTTGATAAATATTCTTGAGGTTTTTTCAATCAAAAACATATCAAATTATTTCAAGAGTGGAAATAATTACCCATCAGGTGGGGAACTGGCATTATTTTACTGAATAATTCCTCCAATAAATGCAGCATTAGAAAGACTGAATTTACCACTTAGCACAGAATTGACTTTGCTTAAGGATAAACATACATATCTGTTCTAAAGCAAACTGATTAAAAACCATCTGAAACCTTGGAAAAGAATTTACCCCCTTCTTCAGGCAGGGTCTTTTCCACTAAATTTACAGTGTACACATAGAAGCCATATCACCATTTCCAGCTATGGTTGCAATAAAACAAATGTAAATACACAGCACATAAGCAGGAAGAGTCTTCACAAAAACCTTGTTTCATTTTTTGCATGGGTGTAAAAGGACAGCTTGCTCATTCAATATGTTTTCCAGAAGAACTGCAAGAAACTGGGTAACTATGATGATTACCATCACTTAATGTATCCAAGAAAGCTTCTTGTATGAGGCAACATCTAAATCCAATGTTCAAAGTTCAAACTCCACTCTGACCTCTGGAGTATAATCTTTCACCTTTTACTAATACTGCTTATCTCTTCACCAATTCAAACCCAACAGCCTTTCATACAACAAGGCAGTTATAATTTTTACAAGTGTAATCACTTAATGATTTCAATCATGAAATATTCTGGACCAAAGCCCTAGCTATTCTGCTAAGAGAAAATGGCAAGTCATTACCAGCCTATTGAGGGTGTGGTAAATCTTGTGAATATTTGCCAGTGTTGATAGATGAGAATTCAGTTGAAAATCTAGAGGGGAGAAAAAAAAAGGGTTTTAAATTTCTGATTTCCAAATGCAGCAGTCATGATCTTCCCACATTCTGGCTATTTAATAAAATCATCACAGAACTATAAACTAAAAGTAATCGCAATTTTTTCAGCACTGACATTTTCAACACTTGAGTAGAACAATTGAAATCTGCAAAAAGATATTCTATGCATGTATATTTCTTAAGACATGGATGACCCTCAGCAGAACAGAAGTATAGCTAACTATAGCTGAATAAAAAAAAATAAATTACAACTTTTTTTTCCCCTGATATTGGGAATCATTATAACTTCCATGTTACCCAGTCCTTCTGTTTTGTCTATTCCAAAACCAAGTTAAGTACCATGTAGCATTCTAAAATCATCAATAAAAATCCTAATTCTTAAAAAAATCTGATTTTATTAATACACATGTACTTGCCTTTATGCTAATTTCCTTGCAAAAAATAAGTGACTAGAATACACTTACACAGTTGAAACATGGCTTTTTAATAACAAACCAAAGGTTACAATACAGCAGTTGTTAAGACAAGAGACAAAAAAACTGATAATGAAATATTCTGACACTTCTTGGAAGAAGCCATAGCATAGATGTTAATTTTGCTTCCACACTCCAAATATAAAACACTTGAGTTTGCTTCAGTTGCTAAAGAGTGAGAAACTAATTTTTCTCTATTCTTTTGAATTCCCTATTTTTGCTAGGAATGTGGCTAGAACAAAACTGGAATGTAAGTAATTCACAAAAAAACAGCTGAGATCCAGCTAGACAGCAGGCAAACCAAAAAGAATCTCAGAAGCTGAACACAAACCAGCCGAGAGGGCTTAAAGACAGCCAACTACTACAGAGTATCTCCATTTAAACTAAAAATAAATTAGCTACCCCACTAGAACTCATGTGCCAAAACACTCTAGAGAAATGTACTGTATGATAAGTAAAGTACTCCAAGCAAACTTCTTCTATATGTGAAAAGCTTCTGTATGTGCCTAACGTCACTACCCAGCTAATGCACTAAAGCATTTCTAATACGAGACATTTAATTTGGCTTTGCCCAGCAGCTGATGCAAGATGCAAGTAAGGTCAAAAAAATAATTCCCTTATTTCCATCCAGAGCATTTCAAAGGAAGGCTCTCAAGATACACTTAAGATGACCCAAATAAACAAGAGTCATCATTAAACATCCAACTGCCAAGTCAGTGAAGCACACAGCTATGAAGTTAACAAGTGGAACTGAAAAACTGCCTGCCCTAAGTGTACTTGTTACACACATCCCTGTGGAATTCTCTTATCACAGTGAATTTAAAAAAATAAAAAGATACTTTTAGAAATGATTCATTTCATTTATTATGTTAGCCAGAGTATCATTTAATTAACTGCTACCTATTTCTTAACGTGTTGTCCCCAGTTCACCACAGCAATACAATTGCTCTAAGTCAGAAGCATCAGAGATGGAATTTCCAACTTCAGCTAACCTTATATATACAAAGTCAAAGACAATCTAGATCTTCTTACCAAGCTACAATAGGAAGCTCTTGAACCCTGAACAGTGCTAGAGTTCTTCCTGCATTAAGAGTTCAATAAAGTTCCATTTTTGCTAGTCAAACAATACTAAGCAGAACCATTCTGCAAGAAAAAAATAATCCTGAGTTTCTTGGTCAATCCTCAATTCAATATAAAGCAATGAGAAAAAAAAACAGAGGGAGAGGGGGGCAAACAGGGATGAGGACTACAGGGAACATGAAAGCCATTCTGAGGAGGGCAGGATGAAAAGATAAGATTTGATTTGTTAACAGGCAGATCAGATTAAACTTTCTGGAATATGAATTTTACAGTTTCCCTTGCTGCTTAGCCTAAAATCTACAAAGAACATGAGTGGTTAGAGAAACCAGTTATATCTGGAGGAAGAAGCTGAGAACACTAAGCAAATATTTATTTATTCTTATCTAATATTAACTTCAGATAGCACTCTTAAAATGGTTGAAAAAGTGCTCTAACATTAGGATTATATATATAGGTATCACCTTTGAAACAAAACATTCCTAGGCACTTTAAAACACACAGTTCATGCCAGTATGTTTTACATGTCTGCTGGAAATATCTGTACAATTTTAAGCTGCTGCTTCAGAAATAAGATCCATAACTATGATGGACTTAGCAGGGTTATACCAACATATTTTCCAGTTCTAATACAAGAGATGTCACACCATCCACCATTTGAATATGGAGGACCGGAGTCCAAAGTTTTTTTTTCTCTCATGGGGGAAGCTTGCACTGTGTAGGGATATTACCTAAAACTGAAAACAGGTTTCTTTTACAGTTATAAAAGCAAATACAAGGAGCACCCGTTAAGTCAGGGAAGGTAAATTATGGTCTGAGAAATTAGCAAAAATAGCACCGATCAACAGTGGTCAAGATGGCAAGCAACTGGACAGCAGGTTGCAAATGTATTCTTTAGGGACACACTCTCTCCCCTCCACTTCCCAAACTTTCCACATATGCTTATGCATCCTCCAAAGCTGTGCCTGCTGATCCCCTTCTTGGTCAGCCCACTACACTTGGAATCTAATCCACAGAATAAATAAACAAACCCTGCCATCCCAGTGCTCTGAATCAGATCACCAAGGAGCTGCAACACAAGCTGAGTTAGAGGAAGAAACAGGAAAGGTCTTCTGAAGTGGGAGCACAACAGCAGCAATGTGTTTCATTAATCCACCTGTCCCTCCCAGTGCCAGCACGAGAGGAGCAACACATCAAGGAAGCTGCACGCTCCACAGCTGGTTGGATGAGCCTGACACAAATAATGCCACCATGTGTGAAGCTATTTTTCACCTAATGACAAGAGTTTCAAAGCACATGAATTGGTCTGAATTCTTTTTTTTTCCTACAGAAACTGCATCCAGCTCTGGGGTCCTCAGCACAGGAAAGACATGGACCTGCTGCAGAAAGGTCACAAAGGACAACTGGAGGAACACCTAACCCATGAAGAAAGGCTGAGAGCTAGGCTTGTTCAGTGGGGAGAACAGAAGACTCCAGGGAGATCTCATAGCACTTTAAATGCACTTACAGTACTTTAAGGGGACTTTCAAGAAAGTGGAGAGGGACTTTCCAGAAGAGCACATAGTGACAGGACAAGGAGGAATGCCTGCAAAATGACAGTGGGTTTAGATTAGATATTAGTAAGAAATTCTTTACTGTGAGGGTGGTGAGACAGTAGCACAGGCTGTCCAAAGAAGCTGTGGATGCCCCAAGCCTGAAGTGTGAGGCTGAGTGAGGCTCTGAGCAACCTGGTCCTGGTAGAAGGTACAGGTGCCCATGGCAGGGGCATTGGAACTAGATTATCTTTCAGGTCCCCTCCAATTCCAGCCATTCTAAGATTCTGACAGAACACACAGTTCATTGACCTCAAAGCAGAAAAAGGAAATCTGCTTGCTTTGTAAATACTGAAAGATGATATGTGGAAAGTTTGCTATGGCTTTAAGGGGTATATGTCAAACAAGCATATGTATTCTGTTGATTAAATTAGTTTTCATGCAAAAGGTAGCTGATCTTCAGTGAAGTCTGAAGCAATGAAAATTCCAGATGGCATTAAATACTTTGCAGTAATTCAGAATGCAATGGCTAAAAAAAAAAATCTGAGTAAAATAATTGCAAATCCAGAACCCAGAAAGGAAAGAAATGACAGAGACAACCTAGTTTAATGGAATTTAAACATTGTCTACAGTCTGTGATTAACACAATGTTAAGAGTTAAAGGCTGGGTTAGTCGATTATATACAATTCAAAATTAAAAAGAAAATAGTTCAAAAATAATTTTTAGAATATTATAGGTTAAGGTTTAAACTACAGACCTGAGAATTACAGAGAGGTAAAAGAAACAAAAGCTATCTGGGCTTGCTTCCATAACAAACTAGAGAAAAAACATTCTACACCCTCTCATTAATGCACACATGAAATACAATACAGAAAACCAAAAAACTCAATGTATCTTAAGTATAAGCAAAGTATACAGGTAAACAAGACTCGGATACTCTACTATCCTATCTGAAATGAAAAAAATTTAGAGATCAAATCCCAATTTTTTTTTTATCAGAAGGAGCAATGTGTTGCCAAACTAACTAAATGAACATCTGAAAACCAAGGGGAAAAAAAAAAGTACCTGCTGTGGAAATTTAAAGCTTGGACAAAACACAGCTACAAGGTGCAGTAAAATCTATTAAAAACCTAGTAAGAAATTAACAATAGTAGTAAACTAGATCAGCTGACTCCAAGTTTCTTTTAAAAGCTGCTATTTTTTCTAAGCAAATAGAAAATCTATACAAAATCTCACTTTAACAGCAGGTCTAAAATAGTTATCCCAAATTAATATGCCATATATACAATATTAAAATTTAAATATAGAAGTAGCAGTAGTAATAACATAGTAGTAATTCTTATTACTGCTAAAATACAGCTGTAAACTTCTCAGAAAAAAAAAAATTAACAGAAAACATATCAGGCAAACTCATATCTAAAAATTAAAATAGCATGCTTAGGCTTTTATTCAATTGTTTTCCTTGCTTTCAAGTAACAGAGATAAAAAAAAAACTTGTAGTAGCACTGGCAATAATAGTTCAAAGTTCTGTTGTCTGAGTTAGCTTTAAATAAACTTTTACCCAAAAAAGAATCATTTAATCTTCTACAAAATATACTATTTTATAGTCTGTAATCTACTTATGGAATTATCCTAACAGCAATACCATTTATATTGATTAATGATGAATTGATTAATGATCAGATCTGAAACCTACATTTGCTGAAAGCCCTCAACGTTCATGTCCAGGAAGCAAAATTTTTGCATTCATTACTAATTACAGAAGGCAAAAGAAAAATGTACATCAGTCTTATTTACACAAAAACTTAACAACACACCTGAAGACTGAGAATCCCAAACTGCAGTACACAGCAGATAGGAGCTGACTCTGCATTCCTGTCAAAGACAGGATTAAAAATCTATTTCCAGTGTGTCTGTAGCTGTATCCCTGCAGGCAGTGACACCCTATACCAGGGCCACCCTGCAGGAGAATCCTTTCTCCCAGTCCATCATGGGACAACAAGCCTTGGGTCAAGGGAGGCAGAGAACAGGCATGAAAAGCAGGGTCTCCCTTGATTTGGTGTGGTCAAATAAAGAGCATGATTCAGAAAGTATGGAAAACAGAAGTGAATTCCAGCTTGGAAAGCAAGGACAGGCATTTAGATGGGATGATCCAAGCTATCTTGAGGAGCATCAGGACCTAGCCATTAAAGCTGAAGACAGGATACTGCAGAATGTTTCTCCTGCCTGCCTGCACCCAGAACTGCACCAAGCTCAGAGCTACTGCTGACACCAGCAGTATCCAAAACCCACAGTTGCAAATTTGTGTAAATTTTGCAAACACAACAGCCTAAAATGTTCTGAAGCAAAACACAGTCTGACTTAAGCCAGTAAATAAAAAACCCTACAGAAAACCCAAACCCAAGGAAAAAAATACTGTAGGAGTTACTAAACGTACTCTAAAATAATTTAAAAGTAAACATTCACATTCAACTCTTAACATTTGGTATTACCACTCAGAATGACTACCTCAACAAAATATTTTAAGATCACTGCATGCTACATGGATAGGAAAAAGCATAACTCTTTTTTGCCCCCATAGGAACAAATCTTTATTCTACCTAGGTGTTTTTGGAGTATCCTAATCTGAAGGCTTGTTTACAAAAAGATCTACAGCAGTTTAAAGTTACTTGAGAATTTTAGAGCAATTTAAGCAGTGCAAAATTTGTATAACTGCTACTTTAGTTTGAATACGTTTCCATTGACCTTAAATTGAACAAGTAAGAGCTAGGCTAATTCTCCTATACTAAAATACAGGATAAAATACTCTGCACAACTGGCTCATGGCCGGATTTGGGTTTGCTTGGGGGGAGGTGATTTTGGTTGGGTGTTTTGTGCTATGTAGCAAAGACCTAACACTAAGTGGGTTTCTGGTGCAAAACATCTGCTTCCATTGATGGCAAGTGTTCATCCAGTCTAACACTTATTCTACCATCAGATTAATTCAAACAAGTGTCAGTGAGCTAGTTTTGCATCACTGGCTGCCATGACCTGAGAGCTGTTTGCAAGCATTACTCTTGACTTCATGCCAGGTGTCACCTGGCACTCTACAAAGGACATAAAGCTAATATAAACTTTGTATCTTGTGCTCTAGCTAATTCAGCAGAAATGCAACCCTGTCAAGCACCTGCTACAGGGTATCCAGCACCGTGCACATCTGGAATGTGGCTCAGGATGGAGCTGCAACAGCCTGGAAACAGCTATGCCAGTCAAAGGCATCACTGTCCCAGCTGCTTGCTTCTTCCTCCCTGCCAAAATTTACTGACCCCACAGCCCTGCTAGCAGCACAGGCCATGGCCACATTCCCTAACCCACTTCAGGCAAGAAATCAACCTGTCAGTCAGACAACTTAAGTAAGTGGCAAGAGCTAACCCAGGTACATTTGACTGAGTGGATTAGAGAGTGCTCCTACAAACCACTTTATTAACAGAGCAAGGGAAGCAGTCCTCTTTAGCTAATGAGCAGTAATGAGCAGCTGAGCAGACCCAGTGCCACAGTCTATGCAGCGACACATCTGCATCAAGTGTGCCATACCAGTCAGTTCCTCAGCACAAGCTAAAGCCTTGCAGCTCTAACTCTATATAAATATATATAACCATCTACATACACACAATTTTATATGTATATACACACGCCCCCCACTGAATGAACTGGTAGTTGTTTCCATCTCTTTATGAGCCAAAAGTAAAAACTGTTTAACATCAGACCATGATTGTAAATAAAACAATTTAATTGGAGAGTACAACAAAAATGCTGGCACATATAAATTAAGGGTTCTGCTTCAAGCCCCTGTTAAGTAGTCTTACTTCTTGTAGAAGAAATAACCACACTATTAAATGCTCTAATATTTAGGCTGGATACAAGAGATGAACACTTTCAAAGGATGTACTGTACTTCCTAATGCTATGCTTTTTGGCAAGCACAAGACAGACAAATTAAGCGAGTTATCTTCTTCTGCTTGAAGACACAAACAAAACTAGGAACTAATGCTTTGAAAAAGCCCAAAGTCTTTGCTTTCAGTACCTGCAAAGAAAGTGTGGGAGGAGGGGAATTAAAGAAAACACAGGATGAATAATTCACTAAGAGCACATAAAGTACTCAGACAAAAATAAATTTAAATGAAGTGCTGCAATTACACAAATAAGAGCTCACCCTGATACAACAGAATGAAGAGAAGCAGTAAAACAAAACTTTACCTGCCTAATTCAACCTTTTACATGGTCTTATACAGAGAAGGCTTTTCCAATTATAGCTACAGGAGCTACAAGAAACTTTTAAGCAAGCATCTTCAATAGATAAAAGCAAAGTTGATTTCCTCATACAAAGGTGTGTATTCAGAAACTAAAACTCAGACTGAGCAAAAACATATTAATGGAGTTTATAGCATAAGAACAGAAAAGGATCTAAGAAGGATCAAAAAGGTGGCTCAAAATAAACCTTCAGTCAAGAGACTACCATAAGCCAGGTTCTGTATGTGCAAAACTATGCTATGAACACTTCTTGCTTCAAGAAGAAGTGCTCATTTAGATCATCAAAAAAAACCCAACCACTATGAAGCTACAGATAATAAAATTAGTTAATTTAGGAAAAAATATCTATTTAAAATAACACATATGCAATTAAAAAAAAAAAATTGAGGCACAAGATTCAATAACTCCAGAGCACATTGTTAATGAAAAGCCAGTAACAGCTGAAGGCTGAGGAAGACTACTCTTACTGGTTTTTTGAAGACAAGTTAAAATTTAAAAAAATTAAAAATCACTGTGTCGCCAAATCATCCTACATGAGGGAGCCCTGGAATATTTGTAACTTCAACTTACACGTGTATATAATGAGGACCTGCTTTTTTTTGACAGGACATATGACAAAAGACACTGAACAGAAGGCATTTTCTAGAATAATTATCCTTCTATTTCTGAGGCAATCATTCCTGCTTTAATGGCAGCCTTCACCACCAACACATAATGACCCCTAAATACAAAGGTAAAATAAACCAGAACCACTAAAAATGATATAACCTTACGATTTAGAGCCTTTACCAGGCTGCCCCTGTACGAGATCTCATTCTGAGCGACACAGGAGGATTCAAGAAAATCCAGGCATTATGCAGCATTTCTTTCCCGCACTGCTTTCCGGACTTTGTCCAGAAGTCGGACTATCATTCACTAACGCACGATCAAAGCTTCAATTTTCATTATCTTTCCCACAAACAAGTTCTACAGTAATAAAGCATCTCAGAGCTGCAAATCCTTTCGCAGAGAGAACACGTTCCTGGGAGGTTTCAGAGGGACGCCGCTGAGCAGGACAGCTTTGTGCTCGGGACGACCGCCAGGTCTCTGCAGCGGACGGTGCCTATCCCTGAACCCCGGCCACCCCACGGCCACGCCGATGCGTGACCCCCTGCACCGTGCAACCCGCCTACAGCAGGCGGTCCCTGCTGCTCGGAACGCGCAGCCAGAAACTCGATTGCGGAGACAAAGCCCTCGCTCCGCTCCTCCAGAACAGGCGGCGCGATGCCCCCGCGCTGCCCAGGGCGGGCGGGGACGGCCCGGCCGGCCGGGGGTCCCCGGGGCGGGGGCAGCGCGGCGCCGCAGGGCCCGCTGGGAGTTGTAGTCCGCCAGACCGCTTCCCGCCACCCCCGTTGCGTCGGGCCGCCGCCGCAGGGACTTCACCTCCCACCATGCGCCGCGGCTCCAGTCCCCCGCACAAGCAGCCCGGTTCTCCCGCACCGGCCCGGCGGAACCCGCTGAATTCACCCCCGTCCGTCTTCCCTTACACACGCAGCTCCGCGGCCCGCGCTCCCCTCGGCAATCCCGGCTCTCTCACAGCCGGCCACGAGGGCCGGCCGCAGCCTCACCCGCTCACCAGCTGGGATGGGCAAACTGCGTCACACCCTCTGAGCGCCCCCGGCCCTCTCCGGTGCTGCTGTCCCCGCCCGCTCCCGCCCCCGCCCCCCGAGGGAGCGCGCTGAGGGCCGCGGGGCTCCCTCTGACCCGTGGAGGCCCCACCGCCAAGCACGCACACACCGCCCCGCTCCGCGGCGGTCCCGCACCCGCGGGCCTGAACCCTTCCCCGGCATCGGGAGTCCCGGTGGCGCGCTCGGCCAAGCCTCACGGCTCAGGGGCAAGAGAAGCCGTCTCCAGCCGCGCGGTTCTTTCGGTCGGACAGAGGGGCGAGGGGCGGGCCCGGGCCCAGGCCCGGCCGCGGCGCTACTCACTGACAGCGGCGGCATCCGAGTGCATTTTCGTGCAGCGCTGCACACGCTGCCGGCCCGGCCCGGCTCCTGCCCTGCTCCCAATCCAGAGCCTGGGCACGGACACCCCCGCCCCGCCCACCGCCCGCGCCCATTGGCCCGCGCTGCCGGGGGACGCGGCGAGTCTCGCCCTCTTACTGGGTGAGGTTGCTGCCACTCTTCTCCCGCCTGCCCCGCACCTCCGCCCCGGCCTCCCATTGGGCAGAAGGCCGAGCCGGCCACGCCTCTCTCTACTCTGACTGGGCTCTGGCGCTGCCAGTTTTTCCCGGCCTTTAAAGCGCGTGCAAAGAGCACCACTTTGTGTCACCCGCGGCGCTGATTGGCTATGGGGACCAAGGGCCGCGCCCATGCACTGATGCTATTGGCTGAGCTAGAGAAGAGGGCGCGGCCTGTGAGGCTGCCCCGTCCTCCAGGGCCGCGGGCGGTGGAGGGTCTGGGGCGGGGGGGCCGGACTGCGGCACTTCCCCTCTGCTCAGTGATCCCCGCGCGGTGCGGCCAAATCACCGGCTAGCCTGGAACGATTTCCTTATTTCTTCCATCCCCCTCTTCCAAGGGAGAAAAATGGCAAGCTACCAACGCCAGTCGAACGCACACAAGTGTCAGGTCAACGTTACAGCAGCGGCAGGATGGGCTGTGGGCATACCTGGGGCCACCAGGGGTGCTCCGTGCGGGACGATGGTATTGTTCTCCATCCTGGAAATGTACGGCATGGAGCCTCCCTCCCTCCTTTCCGTGCCCTTGCAGGACGAGGGCGCCATCCCCGAGCCCGGGTGGAAGGCTCCCTCTCGGTCATTGCTGCTCGGCCTGCGAGCGCAGCATCCCGGGGCGGTCCGGGGTAAATCCGGCCCCGGCACCTCCCGCCGCTGAAACACTGATGCTAGAGACTGCTAGAGCAGCGTCTGTGCTCAGTGCAGGATTAGAAAGAACTGAGTAATGAAAAACCCCTTCCGCTAAAAGGTTAAGTTGAAAGAAAGTCAAGGACTACGAAACTGAAGTAGTGCCAGATTTAAGGTAATTGTCCCTCTGGAGTAATGCACTAACATACAGTCCTGAATTAACTGATCACAAGCCTGTTTGTGTTTCTTTGGGGTTTTTTGTAAGCTTTGCCTTACTCAGTGAGTCAAAATGTGCAAGTGCAGTTGATTTTATTTTTCTTGTTTTCCACTCCCTGTTTTACAGAGAAGAGGGTGGAGTCCACCCAATAAAATTAATCCACTTTTCAAAAGTCATGTACTAAAACCCATGTCAGACCAATGAAAGCTCACATTATTTGAAATTCTCAGTTACTCACTAACTTGTTGAAATTATTTCTATAGAACTTCCTGCCTGTGTCTCAGGATATTTTCCTATTTTCACCATCTTTTCTTGAGCTCAGATGGTTGATGTTAATAACACTAAGGTTGGAGTTCAGTCCCCATATGAAACATTTACTTGAGACCTGGACTCTGTGATCCTTGTAAGTCCCTTCCAATTCACAATATTCTGTGAAACCTCTGCAAAAAAATATAATTATAAAGCAATGCAAGCTATGTTTCACTTCTTTGGTAGCTCTATAACATGCCACATGCCAGACATTCATATTAGTATGTGTCAGCCCAAGTTCTTATACCCAATAGGGGCACCACGGAGTAGCAGTTCATCTGGTCTAATTCTGGTTTAAGAGGAACAATTCCTTTAGGGGTGTCTGTTTGTTCACTTGACCATAAAAAGCAAGCAGCCTGCTAGTTCAGAATAAAAACATATTCAAAAAGAAAACTTCTTCCATCCCTAACAAAGCTATAAATTGATACAGATGTAAAGAAAGGTGGCACAGAAAAACCCTTTTTGGTTGTATCTGAAGACAGAAGTTTGCACTTTCCCCCCATTTATATTAGTCTGAAATAAAAGATACTACTTGGCCTTAAAAATACTTCCTTAGACTATAGCTTCTGTAACTACTTTCATTCTAGATTGTAAAGCAAATAGGTTTGACAAGCAAAACTTCCATATATTTTTGAATGCACAAGTATAATCTCTGACCCTTAAAAATGAGATCTGCAAAGAAATCCAGAGGGAAACATAAACTGTTTTCTTAGCTTCTGCCTGCTAAACAGTGGATTCATGCATCAGGCAGAAGAAGCCTGCCCCATGAGAACAAGGCCGATTAAAACATGCACCTTCATTCCAACCTCAAGAAGTTATAAATAATCCCCTTTGTTACCACTAGCTGTAAACCACTATGGAGGTCTCCAAACCAACAGATGCTACAAAATCAGGCCTGTATTTCCTTTATAAAGCCGAGTTTATAAAATGCAGAAATGCTTCACTTTACATAGAGCAGATAAACAGGTCATGGCTAATCAATCGTTGTGTTGGGTCGCTTGCCAAGGTTCTGATAGCAGAAGGATTACAGGAGTGCTTCTGTGAGAAGCTGCTAGAAACTTCCCCTATGTCTGACAGAGCCAAGGGCAGACAGCTCCAAGACAGACAAATCAGTGATGGGGTAATGCTGCTGTGGTAACATATTTAAGAAGGGAAAAAAACGTTAATATGCAGATGTAATCATGGCCAGAGAAGGGGGGAGTGAGAACATGTGAGAGAAACAGCTCTGTAGCCAGCAGGGTCAGTAAGGGAGTGGGAGGAGATGCTCCAGGTGGCAGAGCTGATATTTCCCTGCAGGCTGTGGTGGAGCCCATGGAGCTCCACAGGGTTCAGCAATCCACCTACACAGCCCCTGGAGACCCCACACTGCAGCAGGAGATGCCCAAAAGAAAGGTGTGGGAAGCCCACACTGGAGCAGGGTCCTGACAGGACTTGTGAGCCTGTGGGAGATCCATGCTGGAGCAGCCTGAAGGACTGCACTCCATGGGAGAGTGGCCCACACTGGAGCAGGTCATGAGGAACTGCAGCTCATGGGAAGAGCTCAGCTTGGAGTAGTTTGTGTAGGACTGTCCCTCTCCTGTCAGAGGGACACACACTGGAGCAGCTGAAGGACTCCTCTCCCTGAGCAGGAAGCAGCAGCAGAAGCAGCACATGATGAACTGACCATAACCCCCATTCCCCATCTCCCTGAGCCACTGTGTGGGAGGAGTAGAAAACTGGGAATAAAGTTAAGCCCAGAAAGAAGGGAGGGGTGGGGGAAAGGTGCTTCTAAGATTTGTTTTACTTCTCATTGTCCTGCTCTGATTTTGATTGGCCATAAATTCAATTAATTTCCCTGAGTCAAATCTGTTTTGCCCATGACACTAACTGGCACTTCTCCTCTGCTTATCTCAGCCTCCAAGTCTTTCATTACATTTTCTCTCCCTGTCCAGTTGCACAGGGGAGTGACAGAGTGGCTTTGGTGGGCATCTGGTATCTAGTCAGGGTGGAACCACCACATGGACTGAGACAGCTTAAGCAGTTCCAGCACTAGTGTCCTAATACTAACCCTCCTGGCATCCTTTATTTTGTGCCAGTGCAATCATCTGGACAGCTAAATAGCATGGTAGGTCAAATAGCAAGACTGTCCTCAATGCTCCCAAAAAGTAAAAAATCCCAAAACAAAACAAACCTTTCAACACTTGCTTAAGTTTTCTTTATTTGTTTGTTTTCCCAGCCAGCTGAATATCCAGATCTGGCTTACTACACATATGTGCAAGTGCTCCCATCAATGCACAGGAGAGGAATAACAAACCATGGAAGTGAAGAGTGGCAGTAAATGCATCTGCCAGTTTGCACACTCTTAGATCAACCTTGGAACTGCAGACTTCTTTTCTTTTTTCCTGAAAAAGTCTGCCATTGTTTGCTTTTTTTTAATGTTTGCACTGCTTTTTTTAACTGATAGCTAATAGCAACCACATTAAAAAAAAAGCAGTTGTAGACTGTGAAAAATACTGGATAACAAGAGAAAGAGGAGCCATTTACTTGGTTATATCTTCTTCACTATCAGAAACAGTGCAGATGTGTCTGAGAAAGAATTTCCAAAAGGAAACTCTGTATCCAAAGGATATCAGACTCCAGATTGCTAAAGCCATTTTATCTCTTGAATACTTTAATTCATCTTGCTTTGCTTAGAAACAAGCTTGAAAGTTAATTTTAGGCACCAGAATCACATGCCATGATGTGTTTTACAAGTCAGAGGGGAAAGAGAATTGTATTGAAAAGAAAAACATTACAAAGAAGAATTTGCTGAACATCAAGAAAGCAGATAAAGCAGTAACAAAACACAGTGCAGGGTATTGTAAGAAAATAAACACAGTGCCTCCCAAGCAGTAACAAAACACAGTGCAGGGTATTGTAAGAAAATAAACACAGTGCCTCCAAGAAGCCCAACAATCACAGTTCTAAATAATTTGCAGATATGAAGAGGTAACTGATACCCAATTCAACACATATTTGTGTAATGCTTCTGAAAAGATTTTTCACCCTCAGAGTTACAATGAAAAAACCTAACACCTGTGAGTTATTCCTGCTTGGTGTCAGCAAACTGTACCAATTAGGGACAAAAGAGGACCTCAAGTGGCAGAAAGTAGAGCTGCAGATTATATGAACTGCTTCATAGCACTACTCATAAAACAGTTCAGCTCATTTTAATCTCATTGTCCATGGATCCACACTGTGTTCCCTGTTGAAGTGAAAAGGTCTGTTCTCTAACACTTACTCCACAAGTACATGGCTTTGACCCAAAGGTCCTTCTGTAACATCCTGCAAACCAATGTCATTTTACATACATGAGAAAAACCATGTTGCAGGGCTGTTGATACCTAAATTCTTACATTCCAGTTATAGGGTTTTTTTCAGCTTCAGTTTTCAATTTTACATTCTCTTCATTCATCAGGAGGCAACTCTAAGCAGCCAAGCTTGAGAGCAGCTAAGAATGTCTTCCTAAACCCTGGGGGTGCATCAAAACAGCCAGCACCCCTTTCTGGGGCTCCCTCACTATCAGCAGAGGACCATGAACATTCTCAGAGTTCTGTTCCAGTGAGACAAGTGGGAACTGATTACCTGCACACTTAAGCTGCAACAACTTGTTTTAATAACATCAAGTCTGGTTCAAAACCAAAGGGTGTGTCCAACTTTTGCCCAGCTTGT